TTTTCTGTCACTAGGGCGCCGCCGCTTAGGAACGAGGTGAAATATTTAACAAATTACATGGCGGGCAAGTTAATGTTTCTCTCTGTAATATTATTTATGAAGTTGGAAAAATTTACTTTGCCAACATCCATATATAGGCAAAGTAAATTTTTCCAACTTTAATATAATGGATTTCTGCAATGTAACGCCTAAGTCTATTAATTATCATATTATTTATCATCATCATTATCATCATTACAGAACATAGGCCTCCCCCAAGGAATGCCTTTGTGGCATTCCTTGGGGGAAGCATGGTCCTGAGCCACATGCATCCTGCATGTTTTACCAGGTCGTCACTCCATCTAGTGGGGGGTCGCCCTACACTTCCGCCCGCCGGTACGAGGCCGCCACTCGAGAACCTTTTCCCCATCGGTTGTCGGATGTCGGTCCTTCGAAGTTTATGACCAGCCCATTGCCACCAGCTTACTAATCCGTTGGGCTATGTCGGTCACTCTGGTTCTACTGCAGATATCCTCATTTCTAAGTACATCACGCAGAGAAACCCCGAGCATAGCCTTCTCCATACCTCGCTGAGCGACCTTGAGCTTCCTCAAACGGCCAGTAGTGAAGGACCACGTCTCGGTTCTATAGGTTATCACTGGCAACACGCACTGGTTGTACAGTCTCGTTTTCAAGTTTTGAGGTATACTTGACGAGAAGATGTGCCGTAATTTCGCGAACGCTGCCCAGCCTAATTGAATCCGTCGATTGACCTCTCGGTAGAAGTTGGACTTACCTAGTCGGACTATTCGTCTCATGTAGTATGTTTACCATATTATTTATATTTTATATTATATTAATGAATGAATAAACGAAACTACAAATATTCCTAAAAGTAGAAAATTTAAAAAAAAAGAGTTAAAACTGTGCAAAATTTAAGAACATACCACTGAGGCATTGTTTTGTGTATTAATATAATGCTCTAGAAACTGATAAAATTTTACATAAAATAACTTCTCAATTAAATGATATTGTGTAACAAAAAAACTTCAACTCAGTTCCAACTAGCGACATCTGGTGAGCGGAAGATTATCAGCCCTCATTGGATATAATATGTGTCAACTACCTTAACGGAAATTCAATTATGGCTGCTTGCTAAATACACGTATAAATGAGATGTACATCTATAGTTAATTGTAAAATTCAAGTTTCATATACTATGAAGTAGATATACGATGTTCTACCATCATCATTTGGCACAGTTTAAATATTTTCTTTATAAGTTATCACAGAAAGTATGGGAAGATAATTTGAAAAGTGTACCCGTGAATCGTTATGGCGAATTTGAAATGACTTGCCGCTTTGAAAATAAAAAATTGAAGGTTTTTATCAATAATATTGAATGTCAAACAAAATAACAGTTTTAAGATCCTACTTTTTACTTGCATTTTTGAAACTATATTTTTAACAAAAGACAGTTAAAAGTCTTTATTTCTTTTAGATGGCATGAATTACTAGCTATGATTAGCTGCTTGTAACTTGCCAAAGATAAAAAAATAATGCCATAAAATAGCTTAAAGTGGCAATTTTCACGAGTCAGTTTTCAACATCCGCGATAAAGATTTCCGGGCATTGTATAAAACGATCACAATACTGACTAAAAATTCATAAAATTCCACATATGGATACATAGCATTAGTAAAAAGTTCTTTAAAACTTAAACTAAGAGAGGGGAAGAATTTTTGAAGTGAAACTCCTTTATCGACATAATGGAGAAATTTAGTACGGTATAAAAAATCATAAACGTCACGTTTTCCTGTAACGTTCAACGTGCTGCTTGAGTATACTATTATTTAAAACCTAGTTATGTAAAATATAAAATAAATGTGGTGGCGTAGGACTACCCCATATAGCCCCAGGGGTTCGTAGGAGACGGAATTAAAACAGGATATGGATAAATAAATTAATAAAAACTGCGGTTACTCACGCGCCAAGCGTGATAACTGTTACAAATATTCCCCCTATTAGCCTATCTATGGGCAATGTTCAGAAGTGGACTTAATAGGGTGCAATGAATAAATAGGCAGCGAAAGTATGGACAAGGTTACGGGCGTGTTTACAGTCTTGTCAAGTATTATGAATTTCAAATAATGCACTACAGGCTGCATAAATTTTTAATTCGATCCTAAAATGTGAGGGAGGGGTCAAGAAACATAACAGTAAAATAATTAATATTAAGAAATGTTTAAAATTTGTGCTTAAATATTAAAACTACCTTCAAATAATTTACCAATAACAGTATCTATTGTGTGATTATGTTGTAGAATATAATATAATAGGTAATATAATTTACTTTACAATATTCAATTACTTCAAAAAACTTTGTATAGATTTGAGTACACCGGGATTATTTTAAAATTTATTTCTAACACTCATTACTAAAACACGATAAATTTCTTTTCAACTCACTATAATCTTAACATTTAAAGAAACTATGTATAATATATGAAATTGACAGTCAAATTCAACTATAGAAACATTTTACCTAACTTTAAATATATTTATCGATTATTTTTCATTTATTTTTCTAGAAATTTCTACCTTTAAATTTAAAATTCAAATTTTAAACATTACAAAAGTTAAAAGTGTATTTTAAACAGCTATCAAAATGTTTGTCAGATTTTTGATAGGTCTTTGATAGGTCGAAATAGGATTGTGCGTGGAAAACTACATTTGAAGACAAGTTTTAGCCATAGTTTTTCTATTGCCACATATAAAAAATAGTGTTTAGAATAAATATTTGTATGATGGTAGTTGTTGTTAATAGGGTATTACACCCATTTTCAAAAAATGTTTTAAATGAATCCTAGAGTGATAATGAACCACTATAATTTTTATATAATTTTTTTAAAACCGAATAGTGACGTAAAAATTACTTTTAATCTATCGTTTTAAATTTTCGCGTGAAAACGCTAGCCGCCATACTGTTCAACTCATGACGTCACTATCGTAGAATTTTGACAATTTTGCAAAGGAATAAGATACTTTTGAATGTTTAATTATGAGTTATCATTTATATTATTGTTGTGTTGTGCCTGATTGCAAAAATACGAGCATAAGAACGCCGGGGAAGTTATGGATTAAAGTGCCAACTGATTTAAATATGAGAAATACTTGGTTAAAACTGGCAAGAAGAGCCGAAGGCATTGTCTACAAAATCTAAACTATACTTCTGTGAAGATCACTTTGATGTAAGTATGACTTATATTTAACTATCGATTAAACAAAACAAAACATCATGACATGATAGGTACCTATTGCAAGTCAAATTTTGTAATAGATTAGGTTAATCGCTCGTCTGTCCCGCCCTTTGTGGGCCATTTTGATAGCCCTTACAAATACAGTGCAGTGTTTTACTTAATTCCTGTTTTCTTCTATATGGGAATAAAGACATGGTTTGTACTCAGACCAAATAAAAAAGTGAATTTTTATTTCGTCTGAGGGTTTGTACAAAAAAATATAACAAATAGTTTTTCTCACCTAAGCTTATATTATAATATCTATAACGTTAGTGCTAAAAGCGATGTAATAAACTCGCTTTTACGAATCCGTCTTCCATGATGCCTTTTCAATAAAATTCGGAATAAAAGTCAACAATCGTAATGATAACTTGAAAAATTTCGAAATTAGCTAGTTAGTACACAGCACATAACCTAGTTCTTTGACCTAGTGACGTCACGACGCTATCTAATATGGCGGACATCGTTTTGCATATTTGAGGCACAGGTAAAAAAAAATATTCTTTAAATTGAAATATAAAATTTATAATGTATTTTTATAAATAGAAATCAATATTTCCCGTTTACTCTTTACAAAATCTATCATAAATATATATTCTTTGATTTTTTTTTACATGGTGTCAAATACCCTATTAATAACTTAGAAGAGGCTGATTGAACGTGTATCTACTGTATTATATTATGCAGATATACAGGGTTATTTTGCAATAACCAGCGAAATTAACAGAGAAGATATAGAATAAAAATGATATAGCAAATGGTGAAGAAAAATTTATAAAAAAATCTCACACATTTTGTCCTTTCTATCTTTTAATTTAAAAATGCGTGGTAATCATCGATATATATTATATACTACGCACTAGATTTCGCATTTCGAATATTGAATATGTTCAACTGAACTGTACTGCAATCCATACACTAAACTAAATATTGCGTAAATTGAAGATTTGTGAATTCCACAAGATAATTATTATTACATTTTGTTTAGAAATATGTTTGTTTATATTGAAATAAGAGTATTTTATATTAATTTCTTATATTTATTTTATATTAATATCTTATTTTATATAAAATTAAAGTTTTCGCGCATTTTCGACTCTACTATCTCCCGCGCATGCACGAAGACATGGAGTAGCGCAAATTTTTGTTTGGAATAGCTTCTCTAGTACGTAGTACATATAACTAAATGGTAGTGTAGTAAATGCGCACATTCAATTTGGAATAATATCAAAAAAAAAGTAGAAGCCTTATTTGCTCGTATTTTCAAAAACATAAATAACGGTATATCATTATTTATATATTTGAACTTAAGTTTAAAATTTTGTTACTCTTTGAAAAATAACCCTGTATAATATATTTCGTCATGGAAGTGAGTGTAACTTTTACGCGCACTAGATATTTGAAGTTAAATTTGTAATATCAATTTTAATAAATAATGTTTTTTTATTTAGGTTTGTTTTTATTATTTTTGATTTATTAATAATATTACGCCTATAATTATAATGTCAGTAAAGTGTATAAATACATACACATAATCATAAAATACTACAGGTATAAATTCGGAAACTGCAAAAAGGTAATATAGATTTTACTCAACGTTACTTTCATCCAATAAAAGATCTAAGTTACCCTGATGTCGCACTTAAGGAAGTTTTATAAATGAAGGGCAGAGATGAACGAATGACTTAAAACTAAACAGTTGAGTGAATGGATGCCAAAGATCTAGACGATAGCTTCAGTGTCACTGATCACGTGTATTCCGTGTTTAGTTAATATCAACCTAACGATATCATTGCAACTCCTGGTCTTATAATTCCTGTCATCTTTCTCCTTCAATTTGATACTCTTCACTTTATCGCAGAGTTTGCTCACCTCGGATTTACTCTTGCGCATTTCATCAGACTTCAGCTTGCGAATGGTGGAAGCCGAGCACCGTTTCTTCACACTTACATTGTCAACTCTATGATCCACATTGCCATCGCTAACCCTCCTTTTGTACATATCAAGATCTTCCTTAGTCAAGTAGCTATCTAAGGAGGAGTAAGTCGATTCGGAATAACTTACCTTTTCGTCCTTAATGGCGTGTTCCTTCTCATCGCTGACAATCTTCACAGCCTTCCCGGGCACATATGTGGCCGGGACTTTGTCTACGTAGGCGTATTTGGGCTTTAAAGTATCCTGGACAGGACTGACAGAGTCTGTGTGGTTCGGTGCGAGGAAGTTGGATTTCCTCGGCCGTTTCACTGTTATCGTCTCGTCTATGATGGACGGTTTGTCACGAATCGATATGAGGATGTTCTTGAAACTGGTCTCTTCCGGTGACGTCATGATCACGTCTTGCGGTGATTTTTTGTTGCAATTCGCGATTAGGTCATTAAGAAGGTTATACTCACTGTTTCCATGGCAAGCGTGAAGGTAAAGTTTTGTGTTAGTTAGTTGTTAATTTAAAACATTTCATGGCCGATTTTTCATCGTCAAATAAGTTATTCATCAAAATAATTACAACCTGACAGAATATAGAAGTGAAACAATTGAACTTTTGTAATAATTATTCATTTGTGTATGTTGTATTTTCACCTATGAATAACTTTAAGAGGATTGAAAAAATGGACCCTTGATATCAATGATAGATCTTAATAATAACACAAAAACGCTTATTAATAACAGGCAGTACTATATTATAACAGTGTGATAAATAAATTAGTATCTACAATTCTCAGAGCATTGATTCTAACTTTAAAAAATTAAGCCAAATAAAATTATAATTAAATTAACTAGTCTAATTTTACTTTTAAGACAGTATAAAATTAATCTTTAAATATTTATTTCAGTACCATTGAGAACATTATTTAAAGCATTAAATTCATTATTATTCGAGACACCAAAAATTAAAATACATATATATTTTTTAACAAAAAACCTCAAATATCAAAAATGGCGGTAATCTTTTTTTTAAAATAATAATGAAAATCTCACGTGATGTAAGGCGTAGCACCATAGAGCCTGTTCTGTCGGATGTAAGCTAACACAGCATCATCCGTTAAGTATTTTGCACTCTCCCCTCTACGCACCAGCCTTCTGACCACCGTGGAACTGACTTCATTCACTATGTAGTTGGTGACAAGGACTACGTTTTTCTGGAAGATGTGAGAGTGACAATGTCATTATTTTCTTAGATGAAGTGTGGTTTCCCTTAGGCATCACTGTTGGATGGACCCTCTCCCATGTTCAAGATTTGCCGTCATCGTCACGCTTTGCAAGCTGATTAGCACCCAACAGTACCCGGTAACTAGTACCTTGACCTAATTGAGAGATTACATCATTATATATATACCTCTTTGAGGTAAACACGACTTTTTGTACACAGAAAAAAGACTAATGGTGAAAGTTCCGGCGAGTTTGCAGATTCACTATCTAAGTTATAGCTCACTGCACTTGAATAGTTTAATTCGATTGGCAGGTTAATTACGACACGTACGCTAATTTCTCACCGCGGTAGAGACTCACTTTAATATCTTTGTATGTACCACATAAACATTCATCGGTTAAAATGTAATATTTACATGTATTATCACCATTTCATAGTTTCATAGCATCCGGTTCGAATATTAGGTAAAATCAGTTAAAATAATGCATTACCATACATTTTGAATTTAAAAGACAAAAATGACAGAAAGTTTGAGACTTTTTAAATTAATTTTTCTTCACCATTTGCCTATATTATTTATTCTGAACTATCTCTGCAAATTTGGCTGGAAATATATAGATACAATATCCGATAATCAAATCCAATACAAACGAACGATTTGATATAGGGTAAGAGTGATATTATTACCCGTGCTTACTACATGCTGCGTACGCGCATACACATAGCGTCGACGAGAGTAAACTGTAAGAGACAGAGAGAGAGAGAGAGAGGTCAATATAGTACTAATACATGTCTCACTCACGCTCATACACGCGGATAATGTCCTCGCGCTCATACCCACAGAGGCATTAAAATGGGATATAAGGGATGATTTGCCCCTTGGATCGGTCTGCCTTCTTGTAAATTCAGAATGTAAGTGAAATTGAGTAATCTTTTTGAGCGTCTGCAAATCGGTACTGACGACGGAAAGTGTCTGGGAGTATTGATGACTGATTTTAACGATACTCGTATTATCTAACATATACGTAAAAATCAGCTGGGAGAATTAACATGAGGTATATTTTACGTACTTTGATTAACTGACGCCTGAAAAATGGCCGCCGGTATAAAGGCCTTTAGCTTATATACCGTGATTTACTTTGGCCGTTCAAGGAAATGGGGGGATCTCTCGCCGGGCAAGGTGTTCTGCCCAGGGAGCGACCAACGCTCCGAGTGGTAGTTCGGAGCTATTCTATATATACTGCTTTAACTTCGGAACATTGTTAGCGCGATTTAGACTTCGATGTATTTTACGACAGCGGCGCCACATCACCCGATTGCTCAGTGCAGTCTAGATGTCGACGAATGTGTAAGAGCCAGGGTATTGCCTTTAGGGATGTCGATTCTTTCCGAAAAAGATCGATTTTTAAATCGATCCGAATCGTACGCTGAAGTATCGATTCACAAAAAAATCGAGGTCTAAAAGATCGATTTATAAAAAATCGATATTTTTTCATGTTTGCATTTATAATGTAAATATAAATACATTTTATAAAAAAACAAGAAAGATACCATAATAAATGATCTCTTATCAGTAAAGTTAGTTTTTTTAGTTCAGGGTATCCGATAATAACAATTATTTTTATTACCATATCAAAGTCAGATCAGGTATGAAAGAAGACATTTATTTTCAAAATGTATTTATTACGTGAGAAAGTTTCCCAACGCTTCATATCTAAACTTTTTAAAAACAATAGTCTGGCAAGTCTATTGGGATCCAAGCAGTTCCGCTTATCACTTTCGATGTTGCCGGCAATTGAAAAAAGGTGCTCACTAGGAACAGATGATCCCATGATACTCATATACATCATGGCTATGATGTATATGAGTATCATGGAGTGAAGGCCGTGATAAAAAGAGTTTTTTTGTTCTTGCCAGAACAGTATGGGATCATACTTCAGGTGCACAGCTGCCTGCGATAAATAGTGTTTAAATTCTTCGTTTAAGCCCTGACTTTCCGGCGCAAGTGCATTACTGTACTATATATACACAAAATATATATACACAAAAATAAGTATTTATTTCGCTAATTACAATTTTATATTACGATACAGTTTGTTTATATAAACAAATATGAATGACGCAATTTCAATCAACAAATACAAAAAGTCATAGACTACAAACCTAACTTTTTTTTTAATTAAATCGAGGCGAAGGAAACTATGCATACAGCTATCTGGCGAGTTTTTGAGTAATTAACCCTTTAACCGGCAACACCGTAATAGTACGGATACATTCAACTAATTGTAAATAATTTTACGGTTTTTACCAAAACAAAAAAAAATCGAATGGCGATTTTCAAGGGTGAAATATCGATTCACTGGATCGATTCACTTCTGCACATCGATTTAAAAAATCGATCTAAGGGGCCTGAAAAATCGATTCTTCGATTAATCGATCTTAGATCGCCATCCCTAATTGCCTTGTAGTCTGCGGTGAGTCGAGAAGAAGGCAAGTAATCTGCGAAAGTGCCGTGAAGCAGAGGTGAGCAGTAAGGCCCAGAGCCGTGCTGAACACATAGAGTAGCTTGAAGGAACAGGAAGCATTGTTATTCCAGTACTGCGATGAACCTTTGTAAAGCTGGCTTGCAGAATGTGAAGACTGCAGTCAATATTTGCTCGGGAGCAAATGAATTCGGTACTTGAGGACGATGACGAAGGTTTGAAGTTGTAGTTTCCGAAGGTAGTGGATTGCGTGTTCATATCACGTCGGGGTCACCACTATAGCTGTGGAAGGAAAAGGGGAGATCTCTCACCGGGCAAAGTGTTAAACCCGGGAGGTGCCAACGCTCCATGTGATAGTTCGGAGCTATTCCATATATACTGCTTTTTCTTCGGAACTTTGATAGCGCGATTTAGGCTTCGATGTATTTTCGCTTGTGGCGCAACGACAGCGCCGCCACATACTAACACTACTTGATCTTACACATTCTGTTCTTCAGACAGTAAGTGACATCTGGTGGCCCTCGGATCTTGGACTAGCTTTGCTGTTGTTTCGTTTGCTGAGTGATAACAACTGGAGGCCCTTTTTACTGATATAGAGTCATTCCATATTAGTCCTAAGAAATAATAACTTTTTTTCTTAAACGAGGATAGATGTAGGTAGAACACATCATCCACTTCAGTGGACTTTGTGCTTGTTTGTCACCCTTTTTCTATAAAAAAATATAAGTACCTATTTCACTATAATACTTATCTTTTATTCATAAAAAAAGAAACTAACTGACCCGGCAGACATCGATCTACCATTTCCGATATGTTTTACTACGAATTTCGGACTTTTTACGGTACTACTCGACAACAGCGCCACCTATTATGTTCCAATTTTGTGATTTTCTTTTTTGGCACTAAATCACATTATATTTTGATGAATGAGTAATTTTGGTTCATAAGTATAGAATCTGTTACTAACTTAACTACAGCGCCACCTATAGGATACTAGTATGCCTAGAAACAAAACAAATATATTGTGTGAATACGATCTCAATCGGTCAAGTGCTTCAGAAGTTACTCGATCACAACCAAATGCACCAACAATTATATTTACACAGTGTTATTTTTCAAAGAATAGCCAAATTTTAAACTTAAGTTCAAATATGTAAACAATGATATACCGTTATAACAGTTTTAGAAAATACGAGTAAATAAGGCTTCTACTTTTACTTGAAATTATCCCAAATTGAATGTTAATTATGGGCAACAAATACGTGTACGCACGCTCCTCTGTGTGCGATTCAATTCACAACGTTTTTATCAACCGAGCGACCCTTACGAATGTGTACGTGTGTAGTAAAATAGTAGGCGTTAGATATTTATGAATGACAACCAGTTAAAATATTGCATTACCCTGCATTTTTAATTTAAAAGATAAAATGGTCAGAATCTTTGAGTTTATTTAAACAATTTTTCTTCGCCATTTGTCTATATCACTTATTTTGAACCTTCTCTGCAAATTGGGCCGGTTATTGCAAAATAACCCTGTATAAAGATTTTTATTAGTTGAATATTGCGACGACTACGCAACGTGGTTGGCAGTAAATAGATGTGTGAAGCCGAATAGGACTAAGTAGCACGGTTTGATAGAGCCCTATATCCATGAAGCAAATACAAAAAGAAGACGGCATAAGCAACTGTGCACTGTGATTCTGAGTAGGTCCTGAGGTCATTATAGAGGGCGTTGGTTTTAGTTATGCCACCCGCTAGTACCCGCTAGGTGTAAGGAAAAGGGGAGATCTCCCGCCGGGCAAGGTGTTCTGCCCGGGGAGCGGCCAGCGCTCCGATTGGTAGTTCGGAGCTATTATATATGCTGCTTCAATTTTGGAACTTTGTTAGCGTGATTTAGGCTTCGATATGTTTCGCTTGTGGCGCGACGACAGCGCCGCCACAGTTATTATATACTGTCAGCATTCGTCCTGTGCGCTTGTGTTGAAATTCGCAAATCGGTGTATTTTCGTAGTATAAAGAAAAAAAGGATGAAGTGTTGTGTTTTAACGTGTAAAAACTACTCAGATAGACGCTCTGATGCTATGGATGGCGTCATATCTCATTTATAAGTATTTTTACACCTAATTTATTAAAATAGTTCTAGAAAAATCTCTTTGCGCCGGCTTTCGAATATAATTAAATATATTCGACACTAGATGGCGACACTTTGTGTCATGTGAACTAAAAATATAAAGGTACGTAGAGCTCAGTATTGGTAAAATAATCATACGAAGGTGCTGAAATTTGTTTTGCATTCTCTATAGTTTTTATAATAATTTCGTGTTTCGTATCGTCAAGGTAGCTAAACTACATAGCAACATCGATATGGAAAGTTTCGAGTAGTTTTACTATTTATCGGTAGATATAGATAGTAAAGTGGGCGGGGCTTAACATCCCCTATCCCCGTAAATTGTCACGCGTTGTTACATAGTGAAATCTAATTACAACACCTCTTGTATTTGCTTCGTGCCTATATCTAATGTATTTATTTAATTCAAATTATCTCTTACCCGATATTTATAAAGCATGTCAGATTCGTATATGAACCTTCCTGGATCGTTGCCGGCTCGAGTAACAACCACTAAGCCGTGCTTCCCGACAATCGTCTCCAACTGAAAACAGACAATACACCTGTAACATTGTCAGGATTAGACAATTAACCTCTATTGTTTACATCGGTACCATCTAAATTTAGATATTTTCATTTCCATACTTGACTCAAAAGAATTTAATATTATGTGTATATATATTTAATTTTTTTTATAGGTTAGGGTGACAAACGAGCACACAGTCCACCTGATGGTAAGGGGTTGCTGTGGCCCATAGACATCTAAATTTATCCTCGTTTGCGAATCAAAATGCAGATGCGTTGTCACCCCTAAGGACTAAGATGGAATGCCTCGTTTCCAGTAAAAAAGTTCTCCGGTTTTTTACACTCACCATACGAAACAGCGGCATTCAGCTGCTATTTTACGCTGGTTTTCTGTGAGAGCGTGGTCCTTCCCCGGTCGAGCCAACCCATTCGTGCTACAACTATACTACTAATATAGCTGCAGCATGGCTCTACCACGTAAAACAACATAATATAAGTTAACATAATATATTACATTATGTAAGAGAGACCAGGCCTCTGTCACGCTTGCTACCTGCGTGAAATAATTATCTACAATCGCGAGGCGCCCCCGAGTCAGAACGCAGTCGCTGTTTACCTAAATAGTTTTTTTTTTGTAAATACTTGTTGAAATACTCGTCAAAATAGTTTTTGTTTAGTGTTTAGTACTTATATTTAATCGTAGGATAAAATAATTGAAAAAGTTTTAATGTAATTTAAGAATAATATATATGTATATTACCTATCTATTAGATAAGTTATAATGACAAAACGTCGTTCCTACTATAATTGTTGCGTGGATGGATGCTTAGTGAGCATACAAAAGGATTCAGACATATCATTTTTTAAGTTACCGAAGGATAATGAAAGGTGAATATATATTTTTTTGTTACATAGGTACTTATAGCGAAAAAAGAATGAAGTAATAATTTAACTGCAGAAGTAATACCTAAGTACATTATTACAAAACTTAGTTGAAATTACTTCACTATCCAAGTACCTACTTACATACCTATACTCGTCTTTTGTAATTAAAATATTATAAGTTATAATAACACAAAATACTGAAATTAAAACTTTGTTATTTATTCTTTGGCGAGACTAAGAATTGACCAGCAGTCGATTGTATTGTTGCTTGATACTCACATCTTCATCTGACCAGAGTCCAGGCGTTGCGAAAGATTCCAGAAGATCAGCACCGCAGAGCAACTTGATAGTCACTCTACCATCGTCCTGCAAGTTGCCATTCAGCTTCTCCATGAGGTTATCGGGTTCGTCTATACTGTTCACGTTAAGAATGTCATCAGGGATCCAAGATGGCGGTTCGGTCGAAGCTTCATTTGTTAAATAGTTATTTATTGTATCCTGAAAGTCATTTTTAAAACTTTTTATCCTCTGACTAGACTTAGGCCACTGAGCATTGAACCGATGTCGGTGTATGGACTGATATCGGAAGACGTGGCAAGAGTTGAGCTTTTTTTAAATTTAGTAATGAACTTTAAAACCAGTTGAACATTATTACTTGAAATAATTTGTGGTAAATTAAACTTAAAATTATTTAAAAAAGATTAGTTTCTAAATTTTGAAATATTAATAGTCTTTTGGGTGTTATGGTGTCCCTGTAGTAATCCAGTCAGGCTACGATTTGTTTGAGAAGCCTGATACTGGGGTCATCTATCCGCCTACCATGTGTGACGATTAAGAAATATCTCCTTTACAATGGGAGAGTCCCAGGCCCAGCGCTGGAATTTTTAGGTCTGACGATTAAGAAAAAATAGGTTATACGAGCTAACAGTTCACTTATTGGTAACAGCAAATAAGCGACAGTCCGAATCATCATGTATCAGATCGGCGGGTCGAATACGCCATGCGACTACTGTCGTGAAGCACTCGTAACACAAGCGTATTAAGCTTACCAGGAGTAGATTAAGAGTATATTATTAATGTAGCATTGCTATTTTTTTAACAGCTAATGGATACCATAGCCACTAGTCTTTTGAGATCTAAGATAGAACCAAGTATCAGTAAAAATGTTCTCCAGTAATAGTCTTTTACGATTATGCATGTGTGTTTAGTTACAATACGATATTATTACATCGATATTAACAATATTTATACAGTCATGCGATATTATTCCGTTTCGATATCAGAACTACCGATACATTGCGATACGATATATCTACACAAAGCTAAATATTGGGCATCACTAGTCTGACACGACCTCTCACTCAATCACTTGCACCGACGCGGTACTTGACCATAAAACATGGGTTTCCTAGAAAAGGGATGCTCACAAATATTTTCCCCAATGACAGTCGCCATAAGACGCTCATCTTTGATGACATGAGAAAAGACCTAAGACCTTTTTATAAACAAACTTTTTTTATAGGATAAGGGTTACAAGCGAGCACACAGTCCACCTGATGGTGTTTACTGTGGCCCATAGACATCTACATCCTCGTTTGCGAATGAAAATGCAGATGTGTTGTCAGCCGTAAGGACTAAGATGGAATGCCTCTTTTACCGTAAATAGGGTCTCCGGTTCTATAGACTCACCATACGAAACACAGCAGTGTTAAGCTGCTATATTTTTTTTATAGAAGAGGGCGCAAACAAGCATGCGGCTCACCTGATGGTAAGTGACTACCGCCGCCCATGAACAACCGCAACACCAGAGGAATTGCAGATGCATTGCCGGTCTTTTAGAGAGGTGTAAGCTCTTTTTTTGAAGGTTCCTAAGTCGTATCGGTCCGGAAAAATCGCTGGTGGTAATCGATTCCACAAGGAAACTTCCTGCGAGGGAGAAAACTTCTCCTAAATCGCACAGTGGTGGACCGCCAATCCTCCAGATGGTGTGGATGGTATCGCGAGTTTTGTCGCGATATGCGATGGTGAAATTGAGCGGCTGGAATTAGTCCGAATAATTCCTCAGAGCACTCCCCGTGATAGATACGATAAAATACGCAAAGAGATGCAACATCTCTACGCAGTGCCAGTGTATCGAGCCGATCAGAAAGAACTCGGTCGTCGCAGATTCGAACCGCTCTGCGCTGGATGCGGTCAAGTGGAAGGAGATGGCACTGGGGTGCCCCGGCCCAGAGATGAGAACAGTATTCCATGTGAGGCCGAACTTGCGCTTTGTAAAGTTGCAACCGATGTGCCGGCATGAAATACTGTCTCGTTCTGCTGAGCACGCCAAGCTTTTTAGAGGCCAATTTGGCCTTCCCTTCCAAGTGACCACGAAACTGCACACTATTCGATATGTCGACGCTCGACGCTAAGGATTCCGATGCTAGCTGAGGCAGCAAGGGGAGTGCCTTGAAACTGAGGAGATACGACAAAGGGGTTCTTTTTAGCGGTAAACGCGCAAACTTGTGTCTTCTGGGGGTTGAACTGGACTAAATTTAGTCGCCCCCAATTCGACACTTTATTCAGCAAAGACTTGACTTCAGACACAAATTTGTCCCGGTACTCGGCGACGTTTTCCCGAGAAATATTGGCATGGCCGTTATATAAGGCATCACCAGTGCTGTCGTCTGCATAGCAATGAATGTTACCAGTTTGCAACATATCATTGATATGCAGGAGAAACAGCGTTGGTGATAGCACGCAGCCTTGTGGAACACCAGCGTTGACAGGCTTGAGATCAGAGCATGCACCGTCTACTACGACCTTGATGCTCCGATCAGCAAGGAAACTGGTGATCCCCCAGAGCGCCCGCAAGGGTAGGATGCAAAAAAATACCGCATCCCATCCCAATCGGCCGACCTATAGTGCCAAACACGGCGGCAAGCTGCAGATCACAACTGCGATTGGAGTGTGAGTGGCACCGTACTCCGGATCAGACAATGGTCCGAAGAGCCCAAAGGGGCATCGACGGAGACCGGATATCCGTCCGGATGAGAGGTCAGCAAAAGGTCCAACAGGGAAGGTACAAGGTCCTCCACATCTGGGATCTGCGTAGGCGAAGTAACCAGTTGTGTTAGACCATATACCAAGGCAAAGTCATAGACCGATCTACCCGCATGATCGGTGAAACGAGAACCAAGCCATTCAGCGTGGTGGGCGTTAAAATCACCGAGTATCACGATCTCTGTGGATGGGATCTGTTGTAGCACGGAGTCTGCAGCCATTTGGACGTGGTCGATGAGTAGGTCTGTGTCGGCGTTACCGCTATGGGACCTATAGAGGCACCCGTAGACGCGGGGATGGTCGTCGCTGTCTACGCGCAGCCATAGGATGGACAGGTCCGTACCTTCAAGACTGCCGAGGCGTCGAATTTTCATTTTCAATTTGTACCCCGGGTAGGAGAGATATGTAGTATCAGCCGGAGAGGACAACAGAGTCTCGATTAAAAAGAGCAAGGCCGGCTTCGCCGTCTCTAGATGGTAATGGACCGCGTTAAGGTTAGAATGAAGTCCCCTGATGTTGCAAAAATTCACGGATAGCGGAATTTTACGCTGGTATTCTGCGAGAGCGTGGTTCTTCCCCGGTCGAGCCGACCCATTCCCAGGACAGGGAAGCCTCTGTCCTGGGAATAACCAGCAAGAAACCCAGTGCGGCTTTTCTTCAAAGTAAATTTACATGAAAGGTTGAACATTACATTACATTTACAAAATTTATTTTAGAAACAGCTTGGAAACAATCACCTCATTCCCGGGAGTTATTATCAACCATGTATTCATTTATATTATAATAACACTTGTACAGTTTTTGTTTAATAAAATATTTAAACTTGGTAATAGAGACCTTACATATTTTCTGGGGCTTTGTTGTAATAGTGTATACATTGCCTCAAGAATTAATTACTGACTCTGTAGAGTCGAGAAACTGGTATCACTAGCCTGTGTTTGTTCCTAGTGTTTATAGTGTGTACATCACTTTTTTTACTAAAACTACTTTTGTTTTTGTGAACATACATTAAAATTTCGTAAATATACTGAGAGGCCAAAGTTAATATATTTATTTCTTTAATTTTTTCTCTAAGAGACTCTCTCGGTTTTATGTTGAATGTAATACCAGACCCTACCTGGTGATATTGCAGGGAGACTTTAGTCCTGGTCCAACCAGACTGTTGTGTTTCCCACTCGGAGACCTTGATCCAACCAGAAGAACGAACTGCTAACTGCAGCATTGATATTCTGTAAGGAATAAAAGTTATTTAACTTCAATTATAATTGAGACTACAAGATTTGGTTTCGTTAAAGCTAGGTCCACGAGTACTAACTTGGTACATATTACGGAAACACTAATTGAAGCGCTTGATGCGGGAAAACAAGTCGACGTAATATATACCGATTTTAGCAAAGCGTTTGATCGGGTCCCACATGATATATTGATTCGAAAGTTAGCTGCCTATGGTATTACTGGTAGTTTGTTGAATTGGCTAAAATCATATTTAAATGACCGAGCGTTTTTTGTAGTAGTGAATGGATATCAGTCAGGCTTGAAAAACATTCATTCTGGTGTGCCCCAAGGGTCACATCTCGGACCGATTCTGTTTGGAGTATTCGTTAATGAAATACCAGAATTGATGAAAAGTTCTTGTGCGTACTTGTATGCGGATGACTTAAAAATTTGCAAGATGATAACGGAAGAGAATGATTCAGTGAAGCTACAAAATGGTTTGGATCAATTGGTGGAATGGTGCAAAGTAAATCGAATGGACTTAAATATTAGTAAATGTCTTTATGTGCAATATGCGAGAAAAAGTAATACCATCGATTATAGCTATCACATTGGAGATAATAATATACAGCAGTTAGACCAAATTAGAGACCTAGGGGTTGTTTTCGATAAAAAATTAACTTTTGTGCCTCACATTGAAAACATTACTAAGCGTGCATCTAGGATGATGGGTTTTGTAATAAGAAATATCAAAGTTTTTCGAAGCTCTAAAATTAAAATTCTATTGTTTAACAGTTTGGTAAGAAGTATATTAGAATACTGTGCTGTAGTCTGGAGACCTCATTATGCTACACATTCACTGAGAATCGAGCGGATCCAAAAAAGATTCATAAGACATTTGTCTTACGCGCGTGGGTTTAGAAGTTATAAGAAGCGTGTATCATATGAAAATAACTTGGTCTATTTCAAAATGATTTCTCTAGAAAACCGCAGGGATATTATTGATTTATTTTTTGCTTCGAAAATTATTAACGGTGTTATTGACTGTCCCGAAATTTTAAGTAAATTTAATTTGTGCGTTCCCTATCGCTATCCGCGTTTTGCTCGTAAGATTACACCGTTGACCACATCGTAGAACAGTGTTTGGCTCCAATTCCCCAATTGCGAGAATGAGTAAAATTGTTAACAAATTTAGCGAAACAATCGATATATTTTTCGACCCTCCTAACAAGCTCCGTCGCACATTAAGAGACCATTTCTTGTAATATTCTATAAAACATTTTCTTTTCTTTTCGCTCTATCTATTTTTATTACTGTATATCATTATTATTTTTTTACCCTAGAAATAAAGTTACAGTGCAGAGATAGTTATTAGCATGTGGTATCCGCCTGTAATTATTTGTACATTTTAGTTCTTATTAGTTCATTGTATTTAAATAGCATGTAAGGAATGATACAAATGTTGGTGGATCAATAAATAAAAAAAAATGTCTTTTTATTAATACTCCTTAAAACATATAAATAAAAGTGTACAAATAGGGTGTGTATATTCAGGGCCTATCAAACTGTAAGGTGTGGTCCTTTTGTCAATTAATCCTTAGCCTCTGAGCTACAATTATAGTAGCTTGTAGAACATGTCTTATGCCCTTTATCTTAGGATTGAAAATAATAAAAAGTTAAAAAATAATACTACACTTTGGTGTTACTATAATTTAAAATTTTGTACAGCCGATATAAATATTATATATAGATATAAATTATTAAGAATAACTCAAAAACAATTGGTCAGACCTTGATCAAAATTATATAGGACCACATGTGAAGCACCAGCTTTAAAAAAAAGAATCATCGAAATCGGTTCACCCAGTAAAAAGTTATGAGGTAACACACATAAAAAAACATACAGTCGAATTATGTACCGTCTACTTTTTGAAGTCGGTAGATAAACAGAAAAGCAATGATTAATAATAAAAAATAACAGTTTATGTTTTAAAAGTATAAAAATTTCATTGAACTAAAATTCAACCCACATAGAAAATTACATCTAATAAGGCGACAAGTGACCTTCATGACTCGTATATCAGTCTGAATTACCATAAAATATTTAATGCAATTATGCGACATACATACCTGTGTTGCGCGGCTACAAGGTCTTTTTTGCCATATGCATCATGCACCGGTGAGACTATGCCACCTACAATTGTGCCCAATCCCAAACTATGTATGTAATCTCTGGCAATTTCTACAAAAGAAAAAGATATAGTATTTTTATCACAAGTCACAATATGTTTATATTTATGAATTTTATATTAATATAATTAATCAATTAACCTCTTCCCATTCCTGAACACATAACATATCTTCTCGCAATGGTCTAATGCTACCAGCAGGGCTAACATGGGTAGGAGACAATTTTATTCCTGGAGAAACGAGAAAATGTTTATCCTCTTGCTTAGTTTCATCCAGGGCTCGGAAACCGGTTGAAATTCTAAACCGGTTTCGGTCATTGACCCCAAAACCGGTTTTTGCGGAATACCGGTTTTTTACAAATTTCGGTTTAGGTGGTAAGAATTAACCGGTTAAAGCCAAGTTTTGTAATGTCCCCCTCTCCCTTACCCCGCTTGCACCCATCTTTGTACGGCTGCCTCTGTTTAATTCCCGAGGTTTTTAGACACATGCACGATATATTCATTGCATCAACTCGACTGCCTTGTAACGTACTCCCTCATATTTTTTCATCTTTCAGCAACGTTCGTATTATAAATAACAGATGTAAGTTCTGTTTCAATTAATAATGCGTTATCTTCACTTTAAAATTAAGTTTCGATGTCAAGTTTAATTTGACGTTATATATTTAAATAGACTTTAACTATATTTAACTTTTTCTATTAAAATTACGCTATGCATCTTTATTTCAATGTCATTAGTTTTAGTAATATATCGCAATAAATGATGAACTTTCTTAACAGAACACAATATTTTTAAAAGTTTATGAAATTAAATGTTATAGTATTTTTGTTCTTTTTAGGACTAAAGTGAGGCAGATTACCAGATTTTTTTTAAATTCAGACCAACCTGTATCTCCGTCTTTGCAAAATTAATAATGACCACTTCTGAGGTGTAAAGTTTAACTAGAAGTCATGTCTAAACACGATAAAAAATTATTTGTTATATTCAGAGAATTCCAACAAAAGAAATTACCATTTTTCACATCTCATTAATGAGGAATTGGAGCAAATCTTATCATGTTGTGCGTACAAGATGCTAATAAAAATATTAGTTTTTCTAAATAGAGTGCAAGGTAATCACATAGACGAAAGTAAATTAACTGATATTGAAATTAATAAAGAAAAATAATTTGAATCTAACGAATCATTTTGATTAAATTCGGCTATACTTTGCTGTCGACTGTAAACAAATACATACACTAAAAAATCCTGTCTTTTATTTAAAGTAATTATTAATAACTCTCAATTAACTAGATCATCAGTATAAATCACACTGATATCTGCGATCATGTATTGAATTATAAAAGAGAATTATTAAAAGTGCAGCCAAGTTTTCTGACGCCTCAAGTTCAAAATCATATAGTACTTAATCACTTTCGAATTTTTTACAAACTTTCATACTTTACGAATACGAAACTATTCAAATAAATAAAATTGAAGTGTCTGTTCGTAACGTCAAAATAACAGATTTTAACTAAATACATATCATGAAAGTATATAATTTTGTCTGTCTGTATGTGGTTACTAGCGCGACTGTGAATTATGATTTGGTCCTGGGCTTAAATCGTGTCCCAGGTCGTGCCAAGTACCGTTATTGGATTAATTTGGGTATAATGAGTGTTCTAGAAACCACCCTGATAGTCGTATTGAGCCCTCAATCAAGCACTTAGATTTTTGGATTTTCTCGTCGTACGTTTTCTTATAGAAAAGGGGGCAAACGATCATGCGGGTCACGTGATGGTGACTACTGCCACCCATGAACAACCGCAACACCAGGGGAATTGCAGGTGCGTTGCCAGCCTTTAAGAAAGGAGTGAGCTCTTTTCTTGAAGGTCCCTAAGTCGTATCGGCCCGGGAAAATCGCCGATGGTTAACAATTCCACAGAGAAGTTGTGCGAGGAAGAAAACTCCTAGTAAAACGCATAGTGGTGGCCCGTCAAACTTCCAGATGGTGAGGATGGTATCGTGAATTTTGACGCGATGTGCGATCCTGAAATTTGGCGGCTGGAAATAAACCGAACAATTCCTCAGAGCACTCCCCGTGGTAAATTCGATAGAAAATGCACAGAGATGCAACATCCCTACGCAGTGCCAGTCAATCGAGCCGATCAAAAAGAATTCGGACGTCGACGACTCGAACCGCTCTGCGCTGGATGCGGTCAAGTGGAAGGAGCTGACACTGGCGTGCCCCGGCACAGAGATGAGAGGCCGAATTTGCGCTTTGTAAAGTTGCAAGCGATGTGCCGACATGAAATACTGCCTCGTTCTGCTGAGCACGCCAAGCTTTTTATAGGCCAATTTGGCATTCCCTTCCAAGTGATCCCAAAACTGCACACTATTCGATATGTAGACGCCGAGGATGCCCATGCTAGTTGAAGCAGCAAGGGGAGTGCCTTAAAACTGAGGAGATACGACACAGGGGTTCTTTTTAGCGGTATACGTGCAAATTTGTGTCTTCTGGGGATCGAACTGGACTAGATTTAGCCGCCCTTAATCCGAGAATCGACATCAGACACAAGTTTGTTCCGGTAGCGCCGTAGTAGCTCAGATGGTTAGCGCTCGCTGTAAGTCTCACAGTACGTGAGAAACTCGGGTTCGATCCCCGCCGGCACCAATGAAATTATTAATTGCAATTTTAAGTGCCGATTTACCACGGGCTCGGTGGTGAAGGAAAACATCGTGAAGAAACCTGCATGTCTGAGAAATAAAAAAAATATATCTCGAAGACATATGAAGTTCGCCAACAAGCATTGGGGCAGCGCGGCGGACATTTACTTGCCCTAAAACCCTCTCAGAAATAAGAGGAGGCTTGTGCCCAGCCGTGGGACGTATAAAGGCTGCAACTTTACTTTACTTTACTTTTGTTCCGGTACTTGGAGACGTTTCCCGGGAAATATTGGCACGGCCGGTGTATATTGCATCACCAGTGCTGTCGTTGTTACCAGTTTCCAAAATATCATTGCTATGCAGTAGAAACAGCGTTAAGGAACTAAGGAACACCAGCGTTAACAGGCTTGTAATCAGAGCACGCACCGTCTACTACGACCTTGATGCTCCGATCAGCGAGAAAACTGGTGATCCAATTGCACAATTTCTCGGGAAGCCTTTAATAAGGGAGCTTCGAAAGAAGCGCTTTGTGCCAAACCCGATCGAAGGCCTTCGCAATGTCCAAACTAACGGCCAATGCCTACCTCTTGGACTCTACTGCCTCCGCCCATAAATGACTTCGATAGACCGGAAGATCAACTGATCAACCCCGACGAAAACTGTTTATAATAGATTCCATCATTTTGGAGAACAAGGAGGTGATGGCGATAGGCCTGTAGTTTGAAGGGTCTGAGCGGTCGCCTTTTTTAGGGATCGGGTGACCCAAAGCTGCCTTCCATGAATTTGGGATAACGCCTTAGGAGTAGAAGTACCGGAAAAGACGCGTTAAAACAGGTTCCAACTTCGGAGCATACGTCTTCAGCACAATGGAAGGGAACCGAGCGCTGTATAAGCCACACTCAAACCGCGGGATGGTCGGCGGTGTATTCTTCCGTTATCGAGAGTCGAGTTGGACGCAAAAAGAGAGATTAACAAATCGGCTTTCTCCTTTGTGGCATGGACTCAGTGAGTCACCCTCTGTTTACAGAGATGGCTGACAGAAGTTCCCTTGGACAGCCTTAGCAAGAGACCAGAATGCACGGGTTACCGAAGGAAGGCGAACTAGCTTCTCACCAACTCCGCTGATGTGCTCTGACCTTGCCTTGGCAATGAATTTTGAAGAATCTGGAGGCGGAATCATACTTCTTTTGAAGAGCGCTGGTGTTTACATCTCGATACATCAACGTCTCGGAATGTAAAGATGTTGTCAGCCCAATGCTGGTAGCAGGTACATGAGCGATCAAACTATGGCTGGAATCTGCCTCCGATGGGCACCACAGAAGATGGAATAAAAATTTCCATGTCCTCAAGTACCATATCAGCAACAGAATCAGCAACATTGCTGGGATTGTCCAGCGAGAAGCAAATTCGCCCTCAAGGGTAGAATGCAAAAAAAAGACCGCATCCTTTCTCAATCGGCCAATCTATAGTGCCAAACAGGGCGGCTGCCTGCAGGATGCAACCGCGAAGATAGTGTGAGTGACACCACCCTCCGGATAAGACCATGGCCCTAGGAGCCGTGAGGGGTGTCGACGGAAACCTGATATCCGTCCGGATAATAGGTCAGCAGAAGTTTCAACAGGGAAGGCGCATGATCCTCCACATCTGGAATCCGCGTAGGCAAAGTAACCAGCTGTGCAATCATATGCCAAGGCAAAGTCATAAATGAATTTCCCCACATGATCGGTTAAATGTGAACCGAGCCATTCGGCGTGATGGTCGTTAAAATCGCCAAGTACACGATCTCTGCGGATACTCCCCCCCTTCCCCCGTATACCAGAATACGCAGGGCAGCTTGAGCACACATGCTCAGGAACAGTAGGGTAGCTTGGGCGTGGGTGCTCAGCGAAGGATTCTCCGTCACCAGGATTCTGGTACCTCCCTGGGGTAGTTTTTTATTTGATTCCGCTACCATATTTTAAGGGGGGGGGGGGAATTGGGCTTCCGACCACCAACACCTACCAAGCGAAACGCAGAAGTAAGTATTCTGTGAGGTCGTGGTACTACCCTGGTTCGAGCTGGCCCATCCATGCGATAGCAAAAGCTGCCGCGTGGCTCTATCACTGTTAAAACGTAAACATGGAATAAATTCTATTTACTTTTTTTCTGCCCATCATAAATAAACAACCGATACACAAGAATAAATTATTTTCTTCATTATGGGACAAGTACAGTTTTAACGAATAAATCGAACACAATAACTGCCTTTCTTTCTTCAAAACTTCTCTAATACTTTCACGTTTTTCGTAAACGCCAAACTCCCACTACACACCCTGATCGCGACTAAAACAATGTAAAGGCAGATAATTGAAAAGTGTGCCCGCATGCGGCGATGCCGCATAAGCACCTCGCAACATGAATCTACCTG